AGCTCGATGTTTATTTATAATTATAAATACTCGTTTTAAATGGAAATGTGTAATCGGAAAGACACGTTTTTATGCTAAGTAATGTTTCGTGTAAGATTATTAAACTGTGTTGAAACCGAAAAACAACGAACCAGAAATTTAGCTGTTTCGCATAATAATAATTAACTTTTAATGCATTGTTTGAATTAAAGTTACTATTAACATTTGTTAGGAGATACAATAAAGAAGCAGACGTTCTTATGTAATTTATCAATCAATTTCGACCCTTCAGATCGGATATAGAGTGAACCAAATTCTCGGCACCTTGAAGTTTGTTAAAGAGGAGTTCGACACCAATATAGCGTTCATGGTCGCTAATGAGATGACATGTAGTAGTACTGAAATTGTAACAATCTCGTTTGTTTAATAATAAAACTCAGTTTTTCAAAATTCTGCGTTGAAACATATAATGGTTTTTCAACTTAAGATATGGAATGATCTCAATGGCCCCCCCCCAAAAAAAAAAAAAAAAAGGCTCGAATCTTGAATCCTTTTTAAGATTTGCGGTATTCAAAACATCCCATCTCTATCATGCACTATTAGTTCTGACACAAAAGCAAATATATATCCTACATTGCTAAAACTCTATGCTATTTTTGTCTGTAATATTCAAACTAAGAACTTCCGCATTACGCTTTTAAAGCATTAAATTATGAACTATAAAAAATTAAATTTGAGAAAATGTGTTTAGAGAGGTTGCACATCTCTTAACACTCTTGCTAGTGATACATTCAATTCTACAAATGGACAGGAAAGTGTAAGCTTTAAATTTAGCCAAACGTTTCACTTAAAATTTTAAACGCAAGTTTTTGTAAGGATCTGTATCTTTAATTAGTGGGAAGAAGAAGAGGGAAAAAGACCATAGCTTTATGCGGTTAAAATATTCCGAGGATATAGTAATTAATATTTTCAATAGATAATTAAAATACATAATTTCTATAAAGAATAATTTAAAATAGATAATTAAAATTACATAAATTTCTATAAAATAAGTTTACGAGGGTTGAACGTTTTTTGTAGAATACTATTTAAATTAGAGAAAGTTTATTTCTATAAATTTTATGATTATCTTAAGTCTTACGAAATTTAATTTCTATGCAACCTCTTAAATATATGTTATCACTGTTTCATTTAGTGTTTTAAACTATGCAATTTTGAGATTCTTCATATAAAATCAACAGGCCAAAATTTTTTTTATCAAAGTGAAGAATTTAAGTAAGAAATTGTATAGAAAACGATCGTATGAAATTTAGGTTTACAGTAATTTATAATAAGCTTGAAATTGCCGTAGTAATAGTTTACCTTAATGGTTCACTAATTATACTGGAATCACGGATTTATAGCCAATAATTGAAACAATGCTTAATCTTTCGAATGTTTTAAAATATCGAATAACTAGATATCAATTACGTTCAGATAGCTTTGAACTTTGTTCTGAACGTGAAACAAAAATTTTGTAGCTACACATAAATTTCATGCTATCTAGTGATTAAAGGATAATATAATAGTTAACAATAATAACAATGCTGTAACAATTTATTGTAATATCTAGAATCACATGTTATTTATTTGGAAAGAAAGAAGGCCTTTTGCCATACATTATAAAATGCATAAAATTTATTCTTCCATTAAATTTGTGCTGCAGGAAGTCATGTTCTAAATTAGTAAAATGTATTGCCAACTAAAACTTTTAACATGCAACAAATAAAACACTTGATAGTAAGGAACTTAAGTGAATTTTCCGAAATAAAAGATAATTTCATACAGCGGATACATAACATCTTGGCCGAGAATTTTATATGTCCTATTATTTGTAATAGTTAACACTTTTTGTTTTTCACTTGATAAAATGTAGGTATTAATGGGTTTCGAAAAAAATGTGTGCTTTTATCCAACATTTTTGTATATTATACTTACAAATTTCTAGCTACAAAAATCCAACTACAAAATCTAGTGCAGAAATTCTTCCAAGGCTAAAAATTTTGATAAGACGCGCAGGAATTCCTAAAATTACATGAATAACCTCGCAAAAAAGTAGGCATAATCATTTCTGCTAGATTATTAAATGCTTATTAGATTACTTAGAATAAAAAATGTTTTATACTTACCACGGGTGAAGAGATTCTGCTACTCCCTGAAGGATTCTGCTAGGAAATTAAACACGTTTGGGCAGCAAAACACACAAAACTCCAACACGGCTGAGAGCAAATGCTTTTTTGCATTGAGGGATTGGATATTTCATGAAGGTTGCATTTCCTCCGATTTCTGAGGAAGTCAGAGAAGATGATTGCATTAGCGGAAACCAATACTATCCAACAAAGGCATTGTTACTTGACCTTGTCACAAAGGAGACAGGTGTTTGCTAAATGTCAAAGAGTAGAACGGGCTTAGAATCCTGAAGACCCTACCCCAAGTCGAAAACATTTTTTCAATAGGTTGCGAAACAATAACTTTTATAAGGCGCATAAGTGAAGCCCCACACCCGATAAGAATTTTGCCCCTAGGAAATTGTCGAACTGGCGACGAAAAAAAAAAAAAAAAAAAAAAAAATAGGAAACGCAGCTTTCAGAAATTAGTTTCCACGAGGCAAACAGCTTTTTACGAGAATCGAAATATCCTTTTATTGAATAAGAATCTAAAATATTATTGCTGTTAATAAGAACGTAAACATTATTGATGATTATAAACGTTAATGAATATGCCAGTTCTGATGAAAAATTGAGCTTTTGGCCCTAGATATGGAATGTTCCATAATAGGTAAATCCACATAAATGGGAGGTTGAGTGGGTAGAAAAGAAGAAAGTGACCATTGTTATGGTGTTTAATATTTTTTATTATAATACTATTTATTGTGAAGTGGCACCCCATATTTATAGTACGTTGCACACGTGAAATTTTTTTAGAATTTGATTCGGGATTTGGTTTGCACAGAAAGATAAAGTACTTTCGGAACTAAAAATAAAATTTATGTTCTAATAAGAAGATTGCCTGTTTTGTCAATTACTGCAAAATACATTAGTGTTTTAGATCATTCTTGGCAAAAGCTGGAAAGGGGGCTGAGACCTGACCTTCGGGAACTTAGATGGCCTGGTCAGCAGCAAATTTATGTGATATGACGTCACAAAAGGCATCTGAATCCTTTTCCTAACATATTCGTCGTTCAGAGTGGGGACACTGAGGAAGTAGGTTCGTCGATCGAGATTGTGCCTGCCACTTACATCCGGTTCAGCCGTCACCACCGGAAAAACAAGGCCTCGTCACTGCGATCGTGACGTCACTAGTAGCGGGTAAAGGAATAAACGGGCTCGCAGCTTCTAGGCAGCGCGAATTTTCTTCAAAAATTAGAAATTTCATTTTTTATTCCCCAAAATAAAAAATAATGTAAGTAAATAAAATTCTTCAAAAAATTTAAGTTCAGGTGAATTTTCGCTGTATGCATGAATATTTAAAAGACTGACACATAATGGTTTCCATACATTTTCCCACCATGTTAGCCAACAAATTCATTTTGTTTTTACTGTAAGAACGACAATATGTACATTATTTTTCCCTTGAATGACAAGAACATCTGCTTTCAACTTTGTTTATATTAGCGCCGTAACGAAGTTTGCTTGCTGTATGTTTAAAATCTATGGTTAAATCTAAATCAAAATATGCATATAGATGAAACAAATTCATGTCCTTAGACATAATCATAACAAGAAAAATCTGCAAGCAATAGATCATCTAATGTAAGTTTTACATTATGGTGGTGATGATATGGAAAACTCAGATATTTAATTAGCTATATTTTTTCTGACTAAAATTTAATCATTTTCTTACATGAAATATTATACAGAATAGCAAAAATATATTTTATTGATTTAATTACAACATTTTTCTTAAATATTAAAACATATTCAAAATGATGTAGTAATGAAAATTAGAAGCTGTATAAAATTTAATAAATATAAGTTTTGATGTATATTATTTACACTTAATATTTTATTGACACTGCTATATAGAATAACTAAAGTAACAAGTTTTTAGGCAGTAACATGAAAAATAATGTTTGTGTACGGCATTTATTACTTTTGAAACCAATTAAACAAAAAACTTAATTCAGCAAAAGCTAATAAATGAAGTAGTGGTATATTATAATGCATGAGGATGCTTAAATTATTCTCTACCATATAAGTTTAAGCTACATGAGATAAACAATATTTGAAATAATAATAGAAGGTGATGTATCTTGTGTTGTTTATTTACATAGCATACCATATAAAATTAATTATATTGAATTCAGAAAGAACTAATAATTAGAATCTAATAGTGTCAAAGCATTTATAAGTTATTGTCTAGCATATGAAATGTAAGTTAAATTAGGTTAGCAGTATATGAAATGTAATGGCAAGTGACATTTATGCACTTTCATTTGTCTACAGAATTTGACACAGCATATAAAATTAATTCTGTTGAAACCAATTGAGCAAAAAACAAGAGAACCTAGAAAAAGCTAGTGATGGTGTAATGATATACTACAATATAAAAGCATTTATAAGTCAGTTTTCAAGTTATGCAACTAGGAGAAATTATGTTCAATTTCCTTGCGTTTATGATCTTTGAAAATTTTGGGTATTTAAAATGTCCCTTGCATTTTAATTATTATCAAACTGTTTCCACATTAAATTTATAAGTTTTAACACTGGTCATAAAAGATTTGTTAACAAATCTATTAAGAATTTTGTTGTTTTTAGCATTGATAAACATTTACAGGAATTATTAGGCTTTTCATAAAATAATTTAAAAGGGCGAGTAAAATTTTGTGCATTATTCATGTGTACAGAACATAGCATATAAAACTGATTCTACTGAAAGCAGTAAAAAAAATTGATTATTTTGAAACCAGCTGAACAGAAATTGAATGGAGAAAAAGCTAATAAATGTATTAATTATTAAAATAAGTTAAAAAAAACAATACACAAAATTTTAATAATATTTTATTTAATGCACTGCAGCTTCTCAGAGCAATGAATAATAAATGCACTTTATGTACATGTAATATAGAATGAATTCATAACTGATATTTGCAATAATATATACTCATTTAAAAAAAGCCATTAACAAAGAAAATGGTTTTTTATGGAAAATTTAATTAGCATTAAGACTCACAGTTTGCAGTTTTCGCTTTTTTGTTACAGGCATGTGATCATTTTTTTTAGTACAATAATTTTTTAAAAAACAATTTGTAGATGTTCTTAAAATTATATTTAATAAAGTGTCATTGGAATGGCCATTATCACAAGTTTCATCGACTAAGAAAAAATCACATTCATCAATAATAGTAGACGATAATTCAATAACAACATTTCTTTGATTATTTTGCTTCAAAAACTTTTTTTCATTTTCTTCGCTTAATAATTTTTGTATTACGACATAATTATAAGTTACTGCAGTAACAACATCTGTTGAGGGGAAGAGTAATTCATTTCTGTCTAAATTTCGTATAAAATTATAATTTGCACTTAATTTTAGATTTTTGTCAAGGACAATTAATTTAAAGCAGGAATTACATCTGAGTGTTTTTGCAGCCATATATGAGCAATAACCGGATATATAAGTTAAGACTGGTAACACATTTTGAATATTTTGAAAATCATTTTCAGAAATATTAATATTGAACTCTGAGCATAAGTCTAAAACATTTGAGTTATCATCTGTAACACAGTCTTCTCCAATACAGTCGATTAAAATGTTCCCACGTGCTACTGATCTCAGAGATAAAGGTTGAAAATTTTGCATTCTTAATTTTGATTCACTTTCAAAAATTTGTCTTACTGATATTAGGTACTGAGATCCAGCAAGCATGCGATATTTACTAAATCGCTCTTCTAATGCATCTGTCTGTATCTTTCCTGCAAGAAAATATTTAAATCCTAACTCATGAAAACAATACTTAGATAATTCTAATAACCCATGTGTGGTGTGAGAAACAGCTAAATGCGTTTCTTTTGTAAAGGTCCCAGTTGTGGGAGCATTAGCTTTCCAAACATCTAACCATAACAGAAATCTTTTTAAAAACTTTTCATTCAAAGAATTATTAGGCAATATTGGCATTTGCAATGGATCATTTAGCCTCTGACCTTTCAAAGGTGTTTTAACATTGACAATATTCCACCAGTTATAAATTAGTTTTATGAAACTTGCAGTACTAGCATAATTTAAAATATTATTCTCCTTGCCAATGGTAGAAAGAGCAACAATAACATAATTGTTAAAAATACTGTTAACAAGTTTGACATTTTGTCTCTCCAAGTTTGATGGGTTGAGGGATTTTAAGGATAATCCATATGCATATTTTACTAAAGAATTTGACTCAATTTCATAAAGCTGTTTTAGTGATTTAAATGAGGCAGTGGATAATGGTAATTTCTCAAAATCATCAAAATCAGGATAATAAAATGCTTGTTCACAATTTTTTTGATTCAACCAGTTATTTCTTATACTTTTAAAGATATGAACAGAATCGATGATAAAAAACAAAGGATCACTTTTATTACATGGGTGTTGATAAACAATACTTAACTGGGGTGGGGAAGAAAAAAAAAGACATTGCTTTTCTGTTTATAGCATTATTATCACTGACAACACACACAACTTTAAACCCTAAACTATGTAAACCAATTATTGTTTTCTTTAAAACTGAAAAAAGGTCTTCAGCTTGGATTCTTTTAATGGGCAGTATATGTACAACTTCTTTAAATGATGATAATAAACTTTGTATCATGAATACATATGCTGTATTTGCAACACTATTACTGTTATATGCCATACCAACATTTCCTCCCTTATAGTCTATGTATGGTTTTATGTGTATTTCATCCAACATTAATGTAATTATAAGGTCTTCTGAATTCAAGCCATCTGCTTTTTGTTTTATGAAAGATAAGAAGTTTTCATCAGACTGCTCTTTAATGGGATTAGTATTAAATCCAGAAAATATTCTGTAAATTGTTCTTGGATGTGGCATAATGATATTGCATGAACTTCTAAAAAATTTATATGCATGGGGAGAAATGGAATATAAAATAACGAAGAAAACATACATATGTGATGAATAACGTATGCGTTCCTTTTTACAAATAAGATTGGACAGTTGTTCTGTAATGAATTCAACAGTTTGTTGTTTATCACTATCATCAGTCTTAACAGTTTTCAATAGAGTAATAGCTGTTTTTATAACATTGGAAAATAAATTTTCATTTTGTGGTTTAGAAATATTCAATACAAAGTCTAAAACTTCAAACAAGCTATTTATATTATTTATTACTTTAGGAAACACTTCGTTATCTATTATTTTTAATTCTGATTTACCGATAAAAACATGACACATTAAATTTTCTGCCACTACTACTGAAGCTTCAATAATCGGTACAGACTCAGTATCAATAATAAGAAAAACAACTTTACCGTCTTTGAAAATAACTGTCCAAGCATCAGGAACATTCTCAGACTTTATGCACGATAAAAATTCAGAAAACGAGTAAAAACATTTTTTCTGTCGTAAATTTCTTTACTGGTTATGCTTGCAGCAAGAGCACTCTGTATATTGTTTCTATCAATTCGAACTCTTCTATCATCGGCACTTTCTCTTGATGTTGAAGATTTACCTGATAAATATTTTGGACAGCCAGGCAGCTGTGAAGGTACAGCATCCTTTCGAAGCCTTGGACGAATTAAATTAATTTTTATTGAAGTTCCTTTTTTCTCATCAAAATGTTCGACTGTTCTTTCAATATCTGATTCGACAAAATGTTTCTCACAAACCTAAAAAGAATGAAAAATTCAGTATTGAGTATCATTGTAGATTCATAAGAAAAATCTTACAAATAATTTAAATGTAAAATGAAAATACAGATTTCCATTCAGAAATAAATTTTGGAACCTGAAAAATACTAGCTAAAATTCATCTACCTAGTACTTCAAGACATACTCTACACATTATGTACTGGAATGATGTGTATGTATACTGAAATTCAGCTGATATTCTAGAAAGTTTTTGCTTACCTAATATTAACTTAAATATTGTACTTTAAATAATATCTCACTAAATTTCATTACAGATTTAAATGCTTTAGAATTAATGACGAACTGTATTATTTGTTGATTTATGTATCAGGATAATTAATTTCAGATTTTATAGAATTCAAATTAAGTTTATAATAACAATATCATATATAGAAGTTTAATTAGTATAAAAAAAGCAACAATAAGGCCTAATTTTTGATCGAGAAATAAATATTTTTTAAATAAAAAAATCATAAGTTTAAAAAATTGATTGTACGTACCTTAGAATGATTTTGATGGGATGAAATTCTGCCGGTGAATTGCACGGAGCCATTTTCTGCGCAACGAATCCGATTTGGGTATAGAAAACATCTGTACTTTTTCAGTGTTTGGATAGTTTCCTCTGCAGTTAGGAACACAACAAGTATAAACCCTCCTTGGCTAAATCGCAGAATAGGCTGCATCAGTCGATGCTGTGTTTACTTCTCTTATGCTTGGACACGCCTTTTTATGACGTAATATTGGTTACGCCTCTTCTTCAAAACAAGTTATAAGTATGCTATAGCTTCGTATTTAAAGAAAACTTATATTATATTTTAACTGAGTTGAAATAGTAGGTTTATAATGTTCTGTGCGAGATTTTTTAAATTGTAAATCTACTTTTGTGTGTTGTGTGGTATTGTTAGCATTTAGCGCAACGAATTATCTCTCACAAATGTATTATTAAGATACCAAACGATTGAAAACGATCATTAGCAAACGATTGAAAATATTGAATGCATGAATTAAAAATTATAACCGTAACTTCTGAAAATACAGAAAAGAATTCTTTTGCTTAAAGAATGTTTTTTGATTATTCATGAGTGTGTTTAAAATCGGTGCTTACTGCAGAATGGATGAGTATTTGAATCTGGATATTCTTTTTATCAGTTGGAGCGAAAGAGATAAAAAGATCTGTTATTGAGTGGTGTATGGAGAAAAGTTTGATTGCAATATCGTATAAGTGCCCAGATTTGTGGAAACAAATATGAAACTAGTAGAGCGAAAAAACCGTATAGACAGGTTTTGAGTGGATGTGCAGAGTTACTGGAGGCGAAATGTAGGCATCGAATTTCAAGAATCAATTCGAAAGAACTCCTGGTTTGCGAAAGAGTAAATTGAGCATGTGTGATGTTTTCCGAGTTACCTATATGTGGTTGGGTAAGTGCGGGAATGATTTTATACGAACGGAATTACGTATTGCTAAAAATACGGTGACAGATTGGAAAAGTTTTTGTAGAGAAGTATGCATGGAGTATGTTTGAAGGAGAATGCTAAGTTGGGTGGGGAAGGTGTCATTGTCGAAATCGACGAAAGCAAGTTTGGCAAGCAAAAGTATCATAGAGGTAAAAGAGTCGAAGGAAAATGGGTTTTTGGTTTGGTTGAGAGAGGAACAGATAAATGCGTCTTTAGAGTTGTTGAAAACAGAGGTGCCGAAACATTGCCAGAAATCATTAAAGAGAATGTTCTACCAGGATCGATTATTATATCCGATTGTTGGAAAGCGTACGTCTGTCTCGAGTTCGAAGGGTATGCGCACCTGAAAGTCAATCATAGCTTGAGTTTTAAAGATCCAGAAATGTGGTGCGCAATGCCGAGTTTGTGCAATTCTGGGATTTTTTTTTAAGTGAAAATAGGTTGATGTGCACATGGGCAAAGCCAATGTGGTGCGCAATGCCGAGTTTGTGCAACTCTGGGATGTTTTTTAAGTGAAAATAGATCGATGTGCACATGGGAAAAGCCAATTTGGTGCGCAATGCCGAGTTTGTGCAATTCTGGGATGTTTTTTAAGTGAAAATAGATCGATGTGCACATGGGCAAAGCCAATGTGGTGCGCGATGCCGAGTTTGTGCAATTCTGGGATTTTTTTTAAGTGAAAATAGGTTGATGTGCACATGGGCAAATCCAATGTGGTGCGCAATGCCGAGTTTGTGCAACTCTGGGATGTTTTTTTAAGTGAAAATAGATCGATGTGCACATGGGAAAAGCCAATGTGGTGCGCAATGCCGAGTTTGTGCAATTCTGGGATTTTTTTTTAAGTGAAAATAGATGGATGTGCACATGGGTAAAGCCAATGTGGTGCGCGATGCCGAGTTTGTGCAATTCTGGGATGTTTTTTTAAGTGAAAATAGGTCGATGTGCACATGGGCAAATCCAATGTGGTGCGCAATGCCGAGTTTGTGCAACTCTGGGATGTTTTTTTAAGTGAAAATAGATCGATGTGCACATGGGAAAAGCCAATGTGGTGCGCAATGCCGAGTTTGTGCAATTCTGGGATGTTTTTTAAGTGAAAATAGGTCGATGTGCACATGGGCAAATCAAATGTGATGCGCAATGCCGAGTTTGTGCAACTCTGGGATGTTTTTTTAAGTGAAAATAGATCGATGTGCACATGGGAAAAGCCAATGTGGTGCGCAATGCCGAGTTTGTGCGCGATGCCGAGTTTGTGCAATTCTGGGATTTTTTTTTAAGTGAAAATAGGTCGATGTGCACATGGGCAAATCCAATGTGGTGCGCAATGCCGAGTTTGTGCAACTCTGGAATGTTTTTCTAAGTGAAAATAGATCGATGTGCACATGGGCAAAGCCAATGTGGTGCGCAATGCCGAGTTTGAGCAATTGTCTGATTTTTCTTTAAGTGAAAATAGATAAATGAGCACAAGGACACCGAGTTTGTGGAATTCTTTAATTGTTTTCGAGCGAATACTGATCGTTGTGTAAAAGGGAAAACGAGGTTGTGCGTGATGTCGAGGAGTAATGTGACTTTATTTATGTGCAATGTTTAACATATCGTTTGTGTATTTTAAATTTGTATTGTTGTTTTAATTGTGAATTATATTTAAGACATAATTTTTCATTTAAATTGTATTTTTAATTTTTTGTTTTTTGATATGTTTATAACGCTTTCCGATTTACGACATATATGGATAGTCCCGACGATCGACTCAACAGTAGCAAAACTGTAAACTTTAACGCTTTAAGTAACGTTTACCTTCCTATTTTAATACGTAGTGTTTGGTATCGTAATTGCACTTGATAATACGAGTTCATTGTATATATATTCATTGTATTCAATATGTGTGTGTGTGCGTATGTGAAGCCATTGCTTAGTGGTTCCAAGTTTGTAGTATTTATTTTATTATATTATTTTCTTTCATTCTGAGAAATTAGATTTTTTTATTTATTAATGCGTAGAATTCTAGCATGCCTGCACCGAATATAGCGTGATTTAGGAATTTTAGAAACTGATATGAAAGCTGTGTAATGAGTTCATATGCAATAAAAAATATTCTTTTTTTTATTAACGTAAAGTTTTAAAATTTTTAGAAATAATGAAAATTGTCTAATTATTGGTATGTAAGGAATTATGTCGTTACGTAGCAAGAAGGTAATTTGTAAAAATGATAAAATTGAAATGTTCCACAATATGAATTTAAATTTAAAAAAAATAGTTTATTTGTATAAATAAAAAAATTAATAAAAAAAATAATAATTTATATTGAAGCTCTACAAACTATTAGAGACTGCGACGTTGTTTATCGTTTTAATAATTGGTAGAATTCGCTCACTGTATCATGGTAATTTTATAAACGATTTATTATACTTATTATCAGTAACGCCTAAACTTAAATGTTATAAATGTAAATTAAAAGTAAGGAATTTGATATTAATTTACAATAATAAACAATTTATTATTGTTATTTTTTAAGAGAAAATAGAAAGTACACGTAGTGTAAATAAATGCGAGACTACATTGTGACGTCATAAGCTTAGTCCCACCCATTTAATGATGTCACGCAGCTCCTCATACTGAACTTTGTTGATGCAGCCTATTATGCGCTTTTACCCCATCCTTCAACAGATTATTAACAAATGAAATATTATTAAATGTTTTATGAAATATAGAAATTTCCCGCTAAAACTACAAGCATGCTTGCACGTTGACGTTACTACCGAAAGGAGCGGTGACGGTTTGTTATGCCTACTAGTCCCTGGCTAACTGACGTCACTCGCAGCAGAAGGGAGGCCTTGTTTTTCCGGTGGTGACGGTTCAGCGCGTGCTTCTGTCTGGCGCGGTTTGCTACTGCGACCACGTGCTAATTTATATCTGACTGCATCAGCATTTTTCAATGCTATTTTGTGGTATATATCATTTGTGAAATGCTTTTAAGCTTTCACTGTTTATTTATTTTAGTTTTTTAGGAAATATTTTTGCACGTTGTCTTGCCAAATTGCCCGATTGCTGGTAGGTGATTTATTTCGCCATTTTATGGTAAATTGCGCGATTTAAAGCTTTAATCTGATTAATTAAATTGTAAATTACCGCTTTTAGATAATTTTGGATTACAGGATTTGATTACCCCAAGCTCTCACTTCAGGTGATTATCAGGGGCCTTTTGTTTCTCCGCCTGCACTTCCGTGTGTGGAGAAGGCTGTCGAGCCATAGGCTCCACGTTTTGGGCGCTGGATTTCTTTTTTCTTGCTTTTGGGCGACCATGGAGAGGCTCGTAGAGATTTACACGACACAAAATCAAGAGCTTGAACAAATTAGACAAAATAAAGGCAAATTAACTGACATCGAAAATAAATTTTATGCTTTCCTCTTAAGCTCACTTATAATTGTTAAAGCCTTAAAAGATAAAAATAATACTAATGCAGTATTAAATAAGGATAACATCCAATCCCAGACTCCTTAAAAGAGTAAAAGTTTCGAGAATAATGATAGGACAAGAAGCCCAATAACCATTCGTGATAACCCCACAAATACAGATGATGACGAAAAACATTAGATAGAGACTCTAGCTCAGAAGACGATATACCGCAACGTTACGGTGACAAAATGGTCAGAACAAAAACCCCAAGGGCGGACGTCAAGAAAATAAAATTAGATAAACACGTACAAATTATTTCCCCAACTATTATGAAAGATTAAAATAATGTTATTGTTACTAATCTGGTTAAAGCACAAAACAACAATCAGAAGATAAATACCACTGAACAAAATACCGAAATTTTCAGATAACATAGACATGGATACTACAAACACTGAATATCAGCAAAATGATACTAACGCTAACGTTACTCAATCAGTTACACCGAAAACTATTAAGTTACCCGCAATTATTCTTAAGGAAACCCAGTACACCTGGGGCAAATTAAAGTGAATTTTCCACCAACACAAATGGGTTCATGGGTAACAAAATTAAAGACGGTATAAAAGTAATAACTATCAACCCAGAAAGTTACAAAGCGATAGTAAAAATACTGAACGAAATGAAAGTCGAACGAAATGAAAGTCGAACACTCTTATATCTTGCCACAAGATAAAATTTTGAAAGCAGTTATTAATGGACTACTGCTCACAACCGAAATTAGGACTGAACTAGAAAGCTTAAACTATGAAATATTAGACATTAAATAAATGTCACGACTTAGAAGCGGCGAGGTTAAACAACTCCTTTTCTACCTAGTCACCTTACCAAAGAACGATGCATCGAAACAAATCTATTATGAAAAATATCTATGTGACCTATCGGTCAAAATAGGGGAATATAAAGGCCGTCAAGAGCCATTACAACGTTTTTCGATGCCAGAGTTTTAACCATACCTAGGCGGGCATACCGCAGGGAGATAGTCCAGAGATATGCGAGCTGTATGTATCTTGGCATTATCTTGCTGAAAAATGGCCCCAGTATGGCGTGCCATGAAGGATAATGCAACCGGCCGCAGGACGGTATCAACATATCGTTGAGCTGTTTTAAAGATGTACGGAGGATGAGTAAAGATGACTTGCTGTCATAAGAAATAGCGCCCCACACCATCACACCAGGGGTATTGGCTGTATGCCTTTGTAAAACAAAGCCTGATTGGGACTGCTTGCCCCTTCCTCTTCAGACACGAACACGATGGTCATCTGCAGCCATGATGATCGGCTGCGACACCACTCCAGACGACTCTGCCGATGTTGTGGGGTAAAAAGCAAACGTCTTAAAGGCCTCTGTGAGCGCAACCCCTCCTCAGACAAGCGCCGCGAGATGATGGGCGGTACAACAGGAGGTATAGACGTGGTTGTAGTGCGTTGAACAGTCGACAATGACACCGTTGGGGCGATTCGGGCCTAGAGAACAATCATCCTATCTTGCCTCGAATTTGTGAGCCTTAGCCTTTCAGAGCCTTCATTTCGTCGGCAGTTTCCTTGTAGCAACCATTGCTGCCAATATCTTTGCACAGCAGCGTCTGTACGCTGCAGGTGGCGGCTTATTGCTCGGTATATCCACCCAACTTCACGCAACTCTACAATGCGAGCACGTTCGAAGTCGTTTAGTTGTCTGTAAGGTCTTCGATATCGTCATAATGGCATCTTTAGTTGCTTCTTTACGGAATTACAATGGCAGCAACAAAAAAAAAAAAATTCCGCCTCTGTTAATGGTTTTATACTTTGCGAATTGAACACTAGAAATGCGCGCTATGATCGCAATGCCTTGAAACTTTGATCATTTGCATGTTCGATCAAGATGTTTTTGCATACCAAATTTCGTCACGATCGCAAAAGTCCTTCTTGGTGCTTCGGTTTTTTTTTTTTTTTTTTTTTTTTTTTTTTTTTTTGCAGAAAAGTGTACACAATCGCATTCTGTTCTGTGAGTAGGTAGATTGCAGTTTTATCATTTTTCGTGTAAAAGCACAGAAATAGCTGTTAGAAATGTTGTTTAAAGAAACACAAATGGTTTATCAAAGTAACAGCTATGTATTCGGCATAGAGATTTCTATTGTTGGCCAAACAAAATTGTATTTTTTGACGTCATTTTTTTGTTTTTGCGAAAATGTTTGGCGGGATTTTAACATGTACCAATTTCGTAAATATTTATGTGAATAATACCTCTGCTATCAATCTTAACTGCAAATGAATAAACGACCTTATATATATGTTTTCTTGTAAGTGTCTGGATGTTCAATTATTATGCATTATTAAAAACAAAAGAATCCAACTATTGAACGAAACGCCCGTGTTCAAATCTGAAGCGACGAATATCATGGAAAAAAATACCTTATGTGACGTTACTCTGTAGCTAACCATGCAATGTTTTCCAGTTGGTCATTGCTGACACGAGGTTCCACGAACGAGAGACATCTGATAAATGTTGCGTAGATTAACAACTAGCACTACCAGAGTCCATTTTTAACTTCTTCCACGGGAAAAGTTTCTTCTAGCATTTCTCAGACAGTTCTTTCAGCTTTCTAGAAAGTTTAGTAATTTTATATCAAAGAATTTGAATTGAGAGAAGTAAAGCTTCAATGACACATTAACGCCACGGAGAAAATTGAGTCGAAAATGTGTAAGGTGTCGTCTAACTTTACAGGTGTACAGATCCAAAACAACCAGCAGTATCTGAGAAACTGTCAGAGAGCTATACTGAGTGATTTAAAAACGTCAATTTTTTAATAAAACTTTTAATTCTTATTCCTTTAATGTTAAAAATATCTTGAAGCCAGCTTTAATTTAGTTAAAAATGCATAGCAGGACATGAGAAGGTAATAAAAAAATCGCATGCAATGAAGGACTGAATGGAAACTCTGACTGGAACATTTTATTTTAACCCAAATTATTGCAGGAATCAGAAACGTTTGAAAATATCTGAGTATGAAGTTTTCTTATTCGATGCAGATTCTTTGATTTACTTTTAAAAACCAATGTCTGCCCAAAATTTTCAAAAACCAAATTTTATTCTATCCATCACTTTTCAACTTAATAATAATGCTAGTCACAAAATAGAGGATCCTGAAAACCTCCTATTGACAAGAAAAAATACCATCTAGCAGAAGCAATTCCAAATTTACTTCTATCTTATAACCTGAATCTTATTTCGAAACAGTTAAAAACACAAACCTCAATAAAAAAAATTTTTTATTGAATTCTTTTGCACAATGAGTGAGCTCGAAAACATCTTTGGAAGCACTAAATTATCCTAATTAACATATTTTAATAATAACTTACTGTAATTCTAATTATGTCTTAGTTTGAGTGCATTTTTTATTCTCCGCTTATTGAGAGGTAAGACTAGCCTCTTTTGCCGTTCACTTTAAAGCAGTCAAGAACACGGTCTGGATTTGGGACTGTGACCATTGTGAAGGCTTATTAAGTTGTTCGCTTCTCGCTACTCTCCGCCATGTTTCATTTCTTTAATAACAACAAATTTTACGGCTATGAATTTATGAAAATGTATTGTTACCACAGACATTTAATGTGTTATTACAATAAAATATTAATATAGTAGAAATAATTTATCAAATGTTTAAGTACGAAAAGGATTAAATGTGAAACGAAAATTTTTTCTGTAAATTCAGAAACACCGTATGCAAACCACACTGCAGAATAAAAGTCTCGAGCATAAATAACAGCAAAAACTAATTCCCAAATAGTAGATTTATGCTTCGCACTTAACTGGCATTTCGAGTAGAATGAATTTCGCCAGCATCCTGTACCTTTCGATTCGAAAGTCGCCCGAGGCGAGGGAGGTTGGTTTACATTATGTCTACGAGAGCTTGTCTTCTTCTCCAACTCATATTCTTTGGTAGATAGTTCAACATAAAAATTTTCGGACACAGAATCCAACCTCCATCGAAATTCATTATTATTACACTAAGTGTGAAATGATTCGAATATCATAAGGTTAAAAGAAAATTTTAAGCAGCAGTAAATAAACAGAGTTTGAGAATCAGATACATTAAATATAAATGTACAAGAGTAAGAAGGACAAACTCATAACTGTATATTGGAATTGCACCGTTTTGGCTCTCTCTGAACTTGATATGAAGTTAGTGCGCCACTTTAACCTAACAAACATGTTACTTCCCAGGGTTGAGCTCTTCCGTGTATTTTATTACTTCTGACGTATCAGGGACAATTGATTTTAATAGACAGTTTTGTATAGTTTGAAGAGCCCTCCTACTTGTAAAATAGTTTACAAATTACTCACGCTATGTATCTCAGGCGAAATCGCAAGCATTACTTTCTACCTAAAAGGTAGGAGCTTTGTCGTTAGCATCTCTGACACATATTCTTCCCGTCGAGCTATATTGGCTGGCGTACATCAGGGCTCAATTTTTTAATTTGTATGTGAACGAGATCCCACAAACACACAACACTACTCTAACATGTTGTCACAAAATACTTATCTTAGTCCAGCAATACCAGTATTAGAAGACCACATTCTCTTACTTGAGAACTGATTTTCACGATATGAAAATTAAAATAAACGTCGATTTGTGTACTGCAATACAATTTACAAAAAAATAGAAAATTCCTGGAAACCTTCATCTTTCCTTAATCTCATTATCCTAGGCTAGGGGAGTTCCTTCTCTCGCTGTAGTTTCCCACAAAAGTCTTTCATGGACCCCACTCATTCTATAACCCAGGTGTTCAGAACACTAGACGTTTCCCTCAGTTGCCCGAAACAGCATTCTCTCTATTGATAAGTTACACATTTACGAAACCATACTGTGTCCTATGCCTTGCTACGCTAGCCCTTTATAAGCATATTCATACAAGAGAAAGCATCTACAAAGAGTCAAAGTGTATCCTAAGACAAATCTCCGACAGGCTAAGACATGTTCGGAATAATGAAGTTCACAAGGAATTGGATGCTCCTCAGCTACGTGCTATCTCTCACCAACTAGCCCACAACTTTCATGAAAGTCTCAGAGAAAATAGCCAGTCCATCATCCAAATTTATAATTATCGATGACTAGTCGCCAGATTATGCTAAACGGCCAATGACCATATAAGAAATATGTGAATCAGTGGCAATTGATTTTATATTTCTATATTTTGTATTGATTACTTCGTTATATTACAAAATCCTAGTATACCCTTTTGTATCAACACTTTCCATAATCATCCCACTTTATATGTTTGTTATGTGGTAACTATTTTGATTCTTCCCATGTAAACTCTATTCAAGAATTATTAGACTGTGATATCTTACCCTATGTAAACACTTCTATGATATCTCACCGTGCCTGAACACTACACCCCATCGCCAGCTAGTTCCGCCTTTTTACATACTATGTTGCATCCATATCCTTAATTTTCGTTACATATTGATAAGTGTTCGGACCATTTTACAATTCGAAAACGAAATCAGTTTCGACGGCGGTTGGACCCAGAGTCCGAGTACTCGGGTGTTTACACCATTTTGTGTTATCTGTCTAGCAGGTTTACGTCCATATAGGTCAGGTATAAGGAGTATGGGATGTAGTATGGTTTTGCTTATAAGTAACTCATATCTATCGAAGGAACCATGTTTCAGGCAATTAGGAAGTACAGCTGAGCTTTACGGGACCGAAATCTTCAGATAAGAAAGTGTACGTGTAGGGTCTATGAAAGACTGTAGTCGAAGATCACCCCAAGATAAATCATTCGCTTGCCCATGTCGGGGTTACTGCTGTATATTTTTAGTTTCCATACTTTTTTTCTTTTCAAAAAAAAACAGCTATAGACTTCAAACTCGCAATAACAATCTTGTATTTAGCGTAAGTATATTACAACACTCAATCAATTTCGAGGGTAGCTAAAGGTCCCGCCTCATCAGGAGAACGAAATTCAGGGGAAAAAAAGGAGAAAAACAAAAATGCAAAGGAGTCCCAAAAACACGTGGTCCTTATCAGCACGCACGTGGTCGTAACCGGAATTTGAATCAGAGTTACAC